TTAAACTTATCCTGGCCAATTTTTGCATTGGAGGGTATTTAGTATATAAAGAAATTTTGTTATGAAATATTTTCTTTTGTAGGTTTCTGTGCATTCTTAGTTGATTCCCCTCCATTTTTTATGSCAGCCACAGTGGTTTGTGTGTTCAGCTATGCTACTCTGTATTTTCCAAGGGTTGGTGGTTGATTCTATCAATATCTGAGAAGAGAGTGGTAGGTGCAGAGAGACAATATTTTCAAAACCGTAAGCTGGCACATGAAAGGTGTGTTTTTCAAGCTTCCCRTTTGAAAGAGCTAATCCTAAAACAAGGATATGTGTTAGTAATATGTATTTTTCTAGCTGTTGCCAGCTTCTGTTTCAGTAATGATACAAGTATGTCTCTGCAAGTGAAGGATTCTTTTTTTTTTCCCCAATAGCTTAGTGTTCTGAATGAATTTTTGATGAAAGACTGAGCAGGAGCCATTGATATTCACTCAGGACAAAAGAGGAGCTTCAGTAGTGTCAGCTCTTAATGCTATTTTTCTCTTTATCCAAACACCGTTCATCATCCTGAACACTCATCTCACCGAAGTGCCCAGAGTAAATGTAGAACAAATTCTTCATGCTGATATGCTCTGAACAAACACTTCCTAGATTTTAAAAAGGCAGAGCATTTCATTTTTTAAATGGAAGGCCAGGGTATCATGGTGTCCTGGAAGGAGGTGACAGTCAACTGAGCTACCATGCAGAAAAACACGGATCAAACAGTTAAAACTAGGATATACATGCTCTTTAGTTCTTTCAAAGTAGTGACATGGAGGATATTTCTATATCTTGTATTGGTTTTCTGACCCAGCTAGTTGTGTAATGAGTCTTAAATATTGGCAGAATTGACATAATTTGACTAATTGCACTCAAAACCTATTTATAACCAAGCCTATTAATAATAATTTATATATATATTTAAAGCCTATTATAATAATTTATAACCAAAYCTATTTCATAACCAAGCAAAGACCTGAGAAACTTTAGCCCTGTATATTTGAATCAAGACAAATAATTTATGTTTCAGTAATAATAGGTGATAAAAGAACACAATGGTCAATTCTAAATTATTTTTCCTATGAATAGAAACTATAATAATAGATTTTTTCCATACCAATGAGTACATATATACTGTGCAATTCAGAGTATAATAGCCTTATGCATACTGTAATACTTCTGGTAAAAGAACTAAGCCCAGGTATTAGTTGTAAATGGATAATTACATACTGATATGATCTTCTTTATGCTTAATTGCTTTAAAATTTTAGATGACTTTAGCCCAAGTAAAAAAAACAAAAACTAAACTTTTTTTTTGGAATTTGGAGTGAGTGTAATGATGACATTCATAGAACATGTCAGCTACTGTAAATGTCTTTATGGCTGTCTTGAAAAGATTCCAGCATATGGAGTTATCTTAATGGTGATTACAGCAGTTTCTTGACTCAGATAAATGAAGAAAAATCTTACTAAGCAGCAGTTTTGAAGGCTTGTGTTCTTCAAATTATGACGATTTGAGTGCTATTTGTCTTGAAGTTCATATTAACTTAATCTGATAATTATGAGAATTATTTTTCACAGATAAAATTTGTACAGAAATATCGAAAGCTGTARTCTTCGTGGTACTCTGTAAAAGAGGTCAGGTAATATTAAACTAAATCTATCAAGTTTATCTGTGATAAACTGTCATGTTAACAACATCTTTGCATTGAACCCATAAATATTCATGATTTTGACTAAAAAACAGATATTGAAACCCAGGAAACAGCTAGGCTGTTCCTTTAAATCTCTATTGAATGGTGCTGGTGCTTAGTAAAATTCTGCTTTTTTATATTTCTTGAGAATAGTTATATAGTGGATGCAGAGTATCAGAAAGAGACTCACAGAACCGTAGTATTTTCAACTAGTTGAGGCTATTTTCTGCTATTTTCATACACGAGAATTGTAAATGGCAGAGAATTACTCACATACTTAAAGTCTCAAACATGATTCTGATTTGGGAGAACTGGGCCTTTAGGGGTTGCTTTTGTCTGGTTCTTATCAGATGGAAAGATATGGCTACCTACATGGGATGAAAACTTGTTTATGCTCTTTGTAGAAAATATAACAYGTTCATTCTTAAAACAATCATTTTTTTTCTTTTGTAGGCAGAATACAGGGATCAGTAGTGGCTTAAAACGCATCATTAATTTGAGTCTCCTACAGAATGAATTACAATCTGTAGAGGACTGAAAATCTTTTAGGAATGTCTTTATATATTTTTTTTCATGTTGTCTGGAAGTCATTTTAYGCTAAAGGAACTGAATAACAACACAATTTCTTCACTTTTCAAATTAAAGCAAAGCATAAAAGACTGACAGAGTTGAGTAGGAAGTAGAGACAACATGAATTTATGTAACAAAACCTGTTTTTGATTAAATTGGATGAATGACAGATTCATTTAGATTTTTGCATATGGCCAAAATTCACTTATCTACTTTCATGACTTGTATCTGTACATCTATTAAGTCATAGCTGGGAGATGACATTTTTGCAGTTAAAGTACAGATGGAAGCAGCCTTCAAAGCAAAATGCAAACTGAAGTTCATGAAATTAAATCTTAGTGTTTTGTTTGACTCCAGATAAGACAAGGAACATATAATTCAGGATCATTAAACTTGAGTGCTGACTTAAAATGTTTACATTTATTTTCTCTAGTTTACTTATCCACCTTTCCTTTTTTATGATTTTTTTTTCTGTTTTSTCTGTCTTTTATTTTTGTATTTAAGGATGTTTAAGAATTCTACAAGATTAAGGAATTCTGTCCTTGAAGTGCCTCTGTAATTTTTAGAAGTTGAGTCCTGGAGATAAACCCCTATTTTTCTAGGTCGTCTCACTTCTCTCAACTTGGTCTTGACAAAATGCTAATTGTCAAGATTGTTTTTCCATTTTAAGACTGTTAGCACTTCCATGTAGGATCTTTTGTTTTGTTCTGTTTTTGAAAGCGACTAACAACTGTTTACATCTTCCACTTGTCAATTAGGTGCTTTTATTTTTAAAACTTTTAACTAGCAATGTCTGTAAGCACCTAACTTTCATATTTTAAATTTTAGTCCCTTAATTTAGCTTACATGCTGCTAGTCTGATGCAATCTCTGTGTGTGCCTAAGTCATTAGGAAGTTATTTATATAGCACTCAGAAAAAAACATTGGTCATATTTTGCTGGTCCACAGTTCTAAAAGTTTTTATAGTAGATACTGCAAATGTGCAGGAAGATAAAGTTTGCCAATTTGACTTTTTCTTAAACTAAGAAGTTGGAGTGTGTGGTTCCCAAAAAGATTTGGATATCTCCAGTGGAATTTGCATGGAATACCATTTGCAAAACTTGGATCTGTGCGAGGAGGGTGCGGAGCAGCTGGCACATCTGCTATGGGTTGTTTTGGGGTTTGCATCCTCCTTCCAGGAGCTTCCTCATCTTCCTGATGCTTATATCCCACCAAGATCCCCTCTCTGACTTCGTCAGGTATTTGGTGTCTGTCTAGCACTGGTGAATAACAAGATAAAGCTTTCTATTGACCTTAAGGCTGATCTGGGATTACCTTGATTTTTGTTCTGATATTATTATTTTTTTTTTGTAATTCAGTTCATCGTTAGATGTACAGAGTTCCAATATTTTAAAGAAAAGATTAGACATTTCCTGCCCCCAGGGTTTACAGTTTTGTATTACAGATTATTATTATTGCATATTGAGATTAAGAAATTTCTTTAGCTGTAGTGTAAAGCTGCCAAAATACATTTACCACAGACCTGAAGGCAAATATCATTCTTCTAGAGGCAGCCTACGGCTTTGGAGGGTTTTTTTTGCTGAAAGGCAGGCTCAGGCTTCCCATGAGATCATCAGAAAGATAAAAAAAAAGACTAAAAGCTCTTCAAAGCTAGGCCTTAGGCCCTAACATAAATTAATTCTCTGGTGATGGTTTGTGTATGTTTAAAAAAAAAAGAATAAATATTTACAAAAAATGTATTTTAAATAGAGCTGTATCCACCTAGACTTCATGTTTGCTTTTAATATCATCCATTCTTTCTAATACAATATAAAATCATCTTAGCATAGCTTTAATTTAAGCTTCAGAAAGCAAGAAGAGAACTTTTCTGAAACTTGGTCATGCAAAGAGAACAGAGAGAGAGAGAGAGAGATGTTATACCATACTATCTGCAGTTTTTTTAGTGCTAAATAGTTACTACCTGTAACCCAACACCCATAAAATTAATTTGCACAACAAATACCTACACTGTTATTTTAACTCTGTTACCCCAGTCATTTACTAGGTATTGTTTATTACAAGGTTCTGAATTAAAGAATGCTCTATACTCTGTCCTCTCTCACCTTTTTTTCTGTCTTAATTTGTAAGATACATTAACCGTAGGAGTTGCTTAACAGAGATCAAAATGTTCTAGAAAAAAACATCTTTGGTGCTGTAGGTTTAGATCTACTTTTTACTGGAAATGCCTTGACAGGAATATAGCTGAAAAAGAACCTGAAAATAATATTGCTAAGAAACGCTGTGATTTCAGCATTGGAACTGTGAGGCTAGGAGTCCTGAAGTCTGGATTTGCCTTGGGCTTCTTTTCTTCCTGTGAAGATGCCACTTTACTTCTTGGCCCTGTGTTCTCCACCTTGTAAAACGGGATTGTAGGAGGGTCACACACCTTCAGATATAGAGCAAGAAGCATCCCAGCAGGGTGGCTGTTTAATGGGGTCTGAATTCTCTTTGCAAAATTCCAGCTGTTCTAAAGAAAATTAAGGCTGCTTGTTTTCAGAGCAAAGTCACCTCCCAAAAGCTCCTCCCAAACCTTTGGCTCTACCGTGTTTGTCRAGCAGCTGCGAGTCAGCAGCGGGATCTGGAGGAAGTTTTTCAGCTGGCCTAARTTAGAGCAACCTACGGCTGGTCTTACTTATGCCTGACCCCAGCTTAGTCCTCAGTTGCCTGAGGATAGGGAGAGGACTTAGCTCAGCTTACCCTCTGACCATATTCTCCCCATCAAAGGCTCTAGCCATGTATTTATAAAATTCTTTAAAACCTTATCCCTAAGAAGCTGTGTGAGTGTAAAGTACTTACTGTTCTTCACTGTTACCAACAGCAACAAGAGGTTTAGCACCAAGATAATATTTTAGGGTAATTTGTAGTGTGGAAAACACTTGCTATGTTATTTCTTTGACCTTTCTGTTCTCAGAAGGTACTCGCTGGGTTGTTTCACCTGGGGTTGATCTCTTGGTGTTGTACTCTTGGATATGAACAGGTGCAATTCAGTATGGTAACTTAAATGTATTGTTATATGAAATTAATGTTTAGTATGAATTTTTAGGATTTTTTTTCCTACAGTATTATGTGTAAATGAGAATTTTTTTTTTTAAAGAAATTTGATGATACTACTTTATAAATTGAGATATATGCTCACTTAAAAGTATCAGTGTGTAGTTAAATCCRGAGTTTAAATTCCAATAATTTCAGTGGAATTACCTTTCACAAGGTAATAAGGTCCAGGAACTTGTATAGCAGCTGAAGCAGGAAATGGCAAATTTGCATCTGGTATAATTTGAAGAAAACAACAAAGGCTAACAGTAATTTTGATGATGCTATAAAAAGCTGAACTTCTTTGAGTAAATTTTGTTATTTTTTAAAGAATGAAGAATTTCTTAAAGAACTTAAAAACAAAGCATTAATAAAATCACTATGAATCATGATCCATACTAATATTCTTAGTTCCCCATATTTCCTATGTTTATATTAGTAGTATTTGGTCTAGAATGATGTTCTTTTAACATAAACGATATGAGATTTACCAGGTTAGGTCATGTATTGTGCTAGATTGACTAAGTTGTAAATGTTAAAAATCCCATGAATTTTCAGGCACAGAACCYCTTCTTTAGGCCTGATCAGGTTTGCATTCAAGTTTGCATTCAGTTTTAAAATCGTTTCTCTTAAAGATGTTTTGTTCAGTCTTCACTGTTTTTTTTCAATGATGCTAGGTCAGCTTCTCTTTTGTATGTATGCAAATGTTTTCTGTGTGAAAAGAAAGCAATTAGCTTGTGTTTTAGTGATTGCATTTAGTTTAGTTGTAAAATTTTAAAGTTTTATGTAATTTAAGAGGCCAAAGAATTCCCAGATCATGAAACAYGGTATTCTGCGTCAGATATTTGATTAAATCCCTAAAAAATACTGTGTGCGCTTCTCTGAATATAAAAATGTTACYGTGTGGCAGCATTTCTAAATTAGATGCTTGCCACTTCATCAATGGTATATGAGGAAATGTATTTTCAGTGGATGATGGAAGAAAGTGTTTTTATTATCTTGTCACTGTTGTCATGGAAACTTATGTACATCCTTGTTAAACAGAGTGTATGTGAGGATCTAACATTCCCCTGCCTTATTATTACCAGCTATTATATTTCTGGTGTATTTTCTTCAACACTGTAGACCAATGCTTAAGAACTAGTAAGTTGCTCTCCTGAATAACAACCACAAACTCAATTACAGGTTTAAGCTGTCCAGAGAGCACTTAGTACAAGGTTCTTCGTTACAAGGTTCTTTTCAATACAGGGTTATTACAGTTTTATTTCCAAATTCRTTGCAGCCTAATATGAAGACTTCAAAAATAGTATTTACTGTTTTCAAGCAGATTATTTTAACACAGTAGCTTTTTGGAAGGAATGAGCTATATGTCAGACACTCTTAATTCTATCTCTTGTAAACTCTAGATGTTTTCTGAATGTGATTTTGAATTTAGCAATGTATTTGAGTTAATATATAATAGTACAGTTGTCTTAATCCATCATTCATGGAACAGTAGGTAAACAGGGAAGCCTGATTTGACAATCCAGATTTAAACTCTGCTGAACACAAAGTATGTGCAATGTCTGTTTTATTACTTAAATTTTGCAGATGTCACAACTCACTATATGGGGAAAAAATATTTCTCGCCAAATGTGGACTCTTCATCAATCAATAGTATTAAGGATAATAAGGTGTTGTATGTTTCACACAATTAGAGTTTTATTTGTGATCTTTTGTGACTGAAGATCTTCAACATACACTTTTTTCTGTCAATTAGTTTGATTTGTAATTGTCTTGATTAAAAAGAAATGGAGTTATTAGAATAATACTTTTCATCATTGAACAAGTGTTTTCTGTTTCATCAAATGTGTTAAGTTTCTTTTACTCTCCTATTTGTTATTTTTCAAATCTGAGGAACATTCTTTTTTATGTTCTGTGGATTTTTCTGAAGCCTATTCTGTAATGTAAAAGCTGTGATTTTTAAATAGCTGTGAATGAGGAACATAGGTTTTGCTGCAGTGTTAGCTGTCCATAGGAGTTTGATATAAAATTGAATTTGCTTGAGAACTGTAGTAACATGAAATGTTTCAGAACTTTAAAAATGTGTTTAAAGGTGTGTATTCCTGTGTTTTTCCTTTTAGAGTACAGTACTAGGTCTTTCAAAACTCAAGAAGTGGAAAAAAAAAAAAAAAAAAAAAAACCACACCCCTAAACAAAAAGAAGAAGAAGTCCACTTAAATGCAAATACCATAAATTGTGGCTTTAGTTTTTAGAAGAAGAGCATTTATTGGTGCTGTTAAGTGACTAAGTGAGGGTTATAGCCTGGTGGCGTTCATTAAAAGTGAAATTAAATTTATAAGGAAGATCTAATTTTCTCTTCCTGCTCCATTAGATTCTAACAGTTCAGGCAATTGAATTCTAAATAATGCCCCAAGAAAAATTTCTCATAGCAATACATGCCCAGTCTATATGGCTAAGAAAATATATACAATAAAGCAAGCAAATCTTCGTATAAGTCATATATGTATTTCTAATATGTCAAATTACCTTAGGCTGTATTTTGATATGTAATCACTGAAGAAAAAAGAAGAAGAAGAAGAAAAAAAAAGGAATATCTTTAACTTTGGGGGATTTACTGATGCAAAATAAAACTTGTTTGTCACTGCTGGTTTCATATGTTTTGCCTGCAATTATTGATAGTTTTTTGCCGAGATTTATAACAAGATTAAATCTCCAAATTCTTCTTATACATTTTTTTCTTCCTCTGTAGAATTTAGATTTGGATATAATGAAGATCTTGAGTGAAAATCTTTGCTGTATTATCTAAACATTTTCTCTATTTTAAGGCATTCTAAGAGAACAGTCTTAAATTCCCAGTTCAAACCATTTTCTGCTGAATGAGATTTAGCTTTTATGGAACTCTCAGGGTAATCCAGTCAGCTGATAATTTCATTTTTATCCATCATCTATGCAGTTGTCTCCCATTTACTGGGAATAAGCTGCTAAAGGCAGACCTTAAGAGGGTGAAATTAAGCCATGAGGTGGAGGGAGATAGCTCAAGTGTGTACTGCTCTCCACCAGCTGTAGGTGACTACCATTGTGTAGTTATTTGAAATCTGTTAACGCAAACTCCACTGATGGCAATGAGAGCTCCAGCTGTGTGGGTAATTGGAATAGTTATCTTGGCTGTTCATTATTAAGACCTCCTGAGCACTTGAAAGCCTGAATGGATATGCCCAAAACCATTAGCTCTGGTGAACTTCCCAACCTGCTTGGCCACTGGATTCAAGTGAAATGAGTTTTACGATACTGGGCAAGAAATGCTATAGCTACATTATGTACCATTGGTTGAAGAGTTGCAGTGTAGTCTGATATGGGTGCTTCTAGTCTGAGTTCCAGATGCATGARTTTGTGAATACAGCTGTAAGATTGCAATCGTGAAGCATTATAATAAGCATGAAGCAGGTTTTTAAGTTTTCTGGTTAAAGTTGGGAGCAGGGGAGGAAGGAAGGAAGGAATCAAATGTCCTGTGTTGTTTAGAATATAATTTCTTGGCAAATGAAAAATTAAGAGAAATAAGTGAAACTCTATAATCCATTTAGAAAATATGATAGCAGGAGGTTATGAATATCATCAGGCAAATGAAACTTATTTTTTTCATTTGAACATGTTTACGTACTTTACCAGGTGGAAAGTTTTAGGGCTATTTAGGCCCAGTGTTGGCCTATTTCAATATATCATTACTGACTGCAGCTAAGGWAACATATAATAAGAGTTTATTAGCTTAGACTCTCTTCTCAGTAAGCATTCATTGGATCAGAATAAATCTGTATTTGTGGTATATAAGGCATTGGAAATCTGTTAGATTTTTGGGGATTTGCACATTAATGTCCTAGCATCTCATTTGCCTCATTAAAAATGCTATTTCAACTCATTAATTTAAACCAAAATCTTTATGGAAGAATTTTCATCGATTGAAAAATCATAACTTACAGGCATAAAATATTTGCAGGATTTGAAGTGTTGCTGATAAATATTTTGTGATCTGCTTGTGATTTGTCATATACAGGCTTACAGTTAAACTTTTCCTATAAATAGAACCATCTCTCAAATTTCTTTTGTTAATGTTAATTGATATTTCATCTTCRAGGAAGATTAAATTTGACAGTTTAGCAACCCTCGCTTTCTTTCTGTTTGTGATTGTGATGCTGATAGCCTGACTATGAACTTCCTTGTGCAGCATTGCTAGTAACTTCCAGTCTGATAGATCTTTCTCAAAATGTGAAGTAATTGAATCTCAGTGCTTACCAGTTCCCTCTGTGCTTTTTGAAGAGAGACCACCAGCTGTGTCGTGTTGAATTGATTGTGATGTGTATATCTGTCCAGTGAGAACAGAAACTAATGTTGTCATTTCAAGGAAGTCCGTGGGTTGATTTTGAACTCGGTGGAAGCAGGCTGGTTAAAGCATTAAAGCAATCTTTTTAAAGCAATTAAAGCTTCTGGTCTTGCTAAGTTTCAGTCCAGCATTGCAAAGCAATGCAATGTTCACAGCCTACAGCTCTTACAGTGCTTGAAAGATTTTTCCTGTTGAAATGACCTTAACTTGSAAGCTGTTTTCAGGTACCCCATGAAGAACTCTGCTGTATAAGTTTGASGACCCTTTCTGGTTCCCTTTCTAATACAAACACAGTTAATGCTGTTCAGTGAAGTGGTAGAGAAGCTCTTTTAGCTCAGAGCTACTTGTGGATTTTGCAGGTCTGATGAGGCCATTTGGGACTATGCCAGGCAGGTCTACAGAATTTTTTGTTCAGTGACAGGACTTTGCTAACTGCTAAATTGCTGGTGTACCTGGCCAAGATGAGACAAGGCAGTTTAACTCTCTGGGCTAACGTCTCCCAAATGCATTTCTTAAGAGACTGTCTTATAGAGGAGCAAGGAYGTGGCAGGGAGGTGGCCAGGTGTGGACACAGCTGTGTGGTCTAAATAGAGCAACCTTGCCATACTGAATAAGTTTGTGTTATGGTCGACTGCTGTATCTGACTTTCAGTGGGAAAAAAAWTCTGCTTATTTATCAATTTTTGCAAGCTATTCTTTTCTACTTTCATACCCATTTTTTTCAATCTCTCCACCTACTAAATGTATTAAATGTATGAGAGAAAGGAAAAACACCATGGAAGAATACAGAATTGGCAATATCACAAAACCCCCAAATTCAAGCCTTGATACTATGTCTTTGTGTGGCATTTTTGATATGTGGTCCTTCAAGTCTTGTGTGGGTTCTTTGGAATACATTTGCTATCATCATGGTCCTCAGAAATGACGTGCTATTATGAATACCTACCTTAAAAGACTAAACAAGGATACGACATTTTAAGCTCCACAAGTAGTTAGTGTAAATTATAGGTAATCCTGGTTGAATCTGGTGGAAACCAAACTTCCAGGTTTCAACCTAAACATCAGCAATGCCTATCGAAACCGGACTCTTAGGAGCTTATGTTTGAAAGAGTGGAATGAAAAGCCTTGAAACTTTCTGTGCTATGAACGTGTAGGGAATTGTTTCCTGATTATTATGGTTGAAATCTGTTCATGCCATTTTTCTTAAAATTTCTTTCAAATTTCTGGACTTTTATTTATGTCACTGAATTATATTTTTCTCTCTTTGAAGAGTTATTTTTCAAAGGAAATGTATCTTTTTAAAAGAGCTCTAGGGACATTTTGTTTGGACAGAAGTAATTAATAGTCCTTAAAGAGTTCTTTTTTTAAGAGTACACATTCCTTATATCTTTCTCATAGATACARACTCCAAAAGGAAATCTACTACCCTAGAGATTTGCAGTCAGGGAAAAAATTCTCTGTAGCGGTGAATTACTCTGCGTGATGATATTTAAAATCATGACCTCTATAAAATGAGAATTAGGCATGCTACAATTAGGAAAGAAAAATCATATTCAAATGCTGCTTAAACCAACTGGTTCTATAATAGTACATCCTTGCTTGTTTTACAGAAGCAAACATTGTGACACTACATCCATTGGCAAAAGGATATTTGAGTTTCATTGCAGCTGAAATGAATGACTTCATGCAGATGAAGATTTATTTTGAATCTACAAGTTCATAATGTTATCGGTGAATGAAAATACATATGTGAGTAAATACGTGGATATACATATGTGTTTGTGGATGCATAGATTTCCACTTCAGTTAATCTAATATGCAGAGCACTTGAGGAATTTTATATCTTTCATGGGAAAAATGTATTCTCTGAAAAATATGCTAAAAGTTCTATATACTGGAAAACTATAGGAGTGTTTTTTAATCAACAAGCTCTATCATTGGACCAGCTAAATAAAGTTTTGTGATAACTAGTTCTGGAATCTGCGATGCCTTAAATTTTAGAACTAGGTAGTTTTCCCATAACCTCAGAATCTGTGTTCCTTTTTGTAAGGTTGTGAATTACTTGCTTTTTGAATTTACTGAATCACAGTATTTTAATTAAATATGTTCTTAGATGTTTAAAAATAGTTGACATTAAATGATAGGTCATTTAATTTTGTTTTATCAGTAAGAAGCATTAGCTCTGTTGAGACTGATAGCTAGCAAGGCCATCTGCAATGTCTTTCAGTTCACTCACACAGTTCAGATAAAGACTGTCAAGTGCTGCCTAAATAAGGAAGGAGCCTTGGTAAAGTTAAGTACAGRGGAGGACACAAATGAAGCATTGATTCCAGGCATGCTGTAGAGTAAAATCTGGGCCGTTTCCTACAGCACTGAATCTTTTACAGATTTTATTCTTGTGTTCTCTTAAGTATTAAAATGCAATTATCTGTTACTCAGGATTTCATGGAGAATGAAAATGAGGAGGGAGAGGAGGAAGAAAAGGTGAGTGAAAAAGCTATAGCTTTGAAAAATATTTATTTCTTTCCCTTCTTGCTGCTTTAGAAGAATAACTCTGGAATGATTCTCTCTCTTTTRTAGGTCTTCCCCAAGCCTGTTATTGAGGACAGAAATGTAGAACTTGCCCGAAAATGCACTGAAATAATAAGTGATGTAAGTGATAGTGACTGCACCCTAGCATTTGCATTTCTTTTTCAGCGCCTGTGTTTACYATGTGTGTACATTTGCCATATATATGTATATATTCAGACATGTACAATGCTGTGTGTGCCACATGAAAGCTCAAATAGCAGAACAAACTGAAGAGAAGTGCTGCCTGCTTCCTGAAGTCATCAACCTTAGCAGCATAAGCTTCTCCAGGAGCTAGGGCACTGTGAAGCACTGGTGCTTACAGGCACTGGAAAGGAGGAGGTTCCGAAATGCCCGTCTCACAGTATGATACTGGCACAGYGGATCTGCTTTAAAAATGAGAGGGTGTCTCCCATGAGATTATTTATTTATTTGCTGATCTAACAAGGAAAATGCTTAGTTATAGCCTTTTCCTATGAGTTCTATTGACTAAAACAACTGGGCACCAGTATGCATAGCTGTGAGAAGGGAGGATCAAAATCAAATAGATGAACTTTGATTAATATTTGTCAATCTGTTTATGGGTGAAGTTCACTTGCTATGGTGATAGAAGTTCAAAACTGCTCAGTGTACTATTGGGCTCATCAGAAAAATTCATTGTAATGTGAAGATATCTCTACAATTATTTAGCAGTAATTGAATTCAATAATTTGTATAGCTTTCAGAGTTGTAGATCAAGTCTAAACATTATATAAATATCTCAGGCCTGGTCTGAGATATTTAAACTGGAGGAGATCCTATTGCTTCAATGCAACAGCATCAAATTTAGCTTGGTTGATGTTTATTTCTGTGTTCTTCTGGAAACGTGTTTCTGAAAAGTAGCTTTGCCATGTRAATTGGAATTAGACTGACAGTTCTCCTTCATAGTTTATTGAGGATAGCAACTTGTAGTTGAGAAGACCTTACAAAGCAGAGGGTGACTTGCTTTAATTAGTCTATTTTCAAGGGAAATGGAAACGTGAGAGATGCTTTATGTTGTGTTGTAATATGATATTTACATTCGGGATATTACTGTTTAAGGTGAATGAGGTTTTGTTTTTTTTTTGTGATAATAATGAATACAGATCTACATGCAGGGTACAAATTCATTAACAGGGCATAGAAAGGAGAGATAAGTGCCAGGATGACAGTATCTGGGATGCTTAGGCGTTACAGTGCTGGACTGCAAGTGTGACTTGACAAGGTCAAAGCTTCCTCTTTTCCATAGGCCATCTTGTAATASTTTTATCTTCTTGGGATGACTGCTGGAAATTGGATAGACCCTTGTGAGAAGCTACAAAGATGGTGCTCTCGTAATCTCAAGCTATTTTAGGAAGTGGTAGAAGTTATTGACGTTTTTCCAGCATTCTTTGGGATATAAATGGCATGTGACACAATAAGTGCCTGACAATTTATGAAAACGGAACGCCAAACGCCTGCCAAAATGAAAACGGAACACCAGCCTGACCTGATATGTATTTACTGCTTCCATTCAATTTGTTTTTAAATATGGTTACCGTAAAGGCAAAAATCCCTGAAAAATGCTGAAGAAATATTTGCTTTATTTGAAAAGGAACTGTTAACAGAGCTGTGTACCCATTAGGAGTAATGTTGGCTGTGGCTGTTAATTAGCTGATAAATGGAGTGGCTRTCTTTTCTCTGATTTTCTGCAGAGGCTTGAGGCTAAGGTGAATAAGTTAAACCAGGTTCCTGAAGCCTATAATGGTTCAGAGATGGGAGATTTTGTTGAAAGCTTGTYGTGCATTTAGCCTGCAAGTGTGTCAGATTTTTCACCGAGATATGTAAAGCGTAATGGCATAGTGTCATTAATGCTTTCAAAGCAGTAGTAATATTTGATGGTTCAGAACCAATTTAATTTCAAAGAAGACTCTCTGTTTTAAAATGGGACCCATTTTGGTAACTTACCCAGCATCCACTGTAATCAGTAGTTGTCTTTTTTCCATTGGTTCTAATAGAATATGAGTATAATTCAGGGATTGATTTATTCTTTTTTAATTATTTTTGTCTCCCATAGTTTTTTATTTTACTATAATTGGAATTTCTTATGAATATCTCTTTCCTCTCCCTGCATTTTTTGTAAATTGTGGAGGTCAATAAACTGCAAAGTGTTTGCATATTTCCTATTGAATTGTTGGCTCATCCATGTTTGGAACTTCTAGGCTTCTTCTATGCTTTCTTGCAGGAGTCTTGCCCAGACTCCTTGTTCGTGTAGATGTATTACTAGTACATATCTGTAAGTTTTATGTGCACAATAGTTATGGGTCTTGCAGTTTTACCCTAAGGTGACCTTGTGGCAGCAGCCTGTGTCCTTGCTGGCTGCAAGACGAGGTGATTGTCCTTCTCTGCCTGTGGAGCTGTCAGCACAGGCCCCTGTCACAATGCAGTGGCGTGAGAGCTCCGGGCTAAAGATACTGCAGTGGCAGGGTGCTCACCCGGCACCCTTTGGGGTCTGACTTTAAATTGGCAATATTTTTTCAAAAAACAGTTGTGACGAGAGTCCTTAGTGCATGTGTAACTGTCAAACAGAGAGAGGAGTTATTGTTAATGATTATTAACCAAATTATGATAATAATAAACAGGAMGACACTGTCATGTGAAATTGCTACTGTACTTTAGTTTTGCGTAGTACCCATGTTTTCACCCTTAGCAAAAGAATTGCACCACTYGCTATCTAACTGTTCCTGTCTGAAGCCCAGCTGTGTCTCCTCACCTCAGCATCAAGTTCAAATCTTATTCCTCATTTGTCATGCCATGATTTTGCGGCTTCTTTGTTATAAAGCGGGGGCTACCGAGGCACATTGTCAGGAACTGAAATGGAGTGCCTTACCACTGATCTAATAGGCTGGCTGCCACTTCAGGATGGAGCTCTTCCTCTGCGCTGACCATTATGAATCACAGGCTCTGACTTGGTAGGATTTTCAGGTCTAAATCAGTGGAGRCTAGGAAAATACCCAGGGGCAATAATCCTGTAAAATTGCCCTGATCATGCAATTCGGTCAAGACTTCTGTGGGCCATGGAGGGAGGATTTTGTATTAGATGGATCTGTGGTCTTCAAGTCTTGTGAAAGATTATAAGCCTAGAAGTGGGGGTCTGCRAAGGGGATCTGTAGGAAATCCATGGAAAAAAACATCCATTGTGGTCTGGCATAAGAGCTAGATGAAACTTTCAGATGTTTTTGTGGCTTTTCTAAGCTTAAATGGATCCTAGAGAGAGCAGTTCTCTAATGTATCTTGGCATGATGATTGTCAACATAGTTGACACAGTGATGTCAAAATACTAGGAGGAGGGTTTCCAGTAGAGCTGTATTTAAATTTGATTAATACCTTAATACAATAGAACAACTTGAATTAGGCTGTTAAACCATGATGATTCCCTTGTGAGACAGAACAATAAAGCAGGCTGTGGGCAAGGTGAGTCTCCACAGTGAGCCACAGCCTGCAGGTTCGATGACTTTTATTATAAAAAGTTATTTTTTGCCATATAAAATCCATTGATGGAAAAAAATACAATTTGAAACTTCTGTTGTCACAAATTCCTTTTGATTACCTAAGGGTACAGCATCACACAAACAGGTTACATAGGCTACATGAGATTGGTGAAGCCCTGGGCAAAGTGGTGTCATACTGTAATTTTGTACCCTGTGTTCCAGAAAAAGGTTTTTTTTTTTTTTTTTTTTTCCTCTTTCCCCTCCCCTCCTCTTCTGTATAATAAATACAATGTTGTCCCTGAAAGGAGGCAGTATGGTTTGGTAATAAAATTCTGCTTCAGTAGCCCAAATCAGGATGAGGATGAGGTCAGCAAAGTTTCACCCATGTGAGATAGTTATATAGTTGCCCATTGAAAAAGAACTTGGCCTTATCTAATTCTTTTTGTGGTGGACAAAAAGTTTACATCAGAAAGGCCCAGCGCTGATTCTGCATAAGCTGACATCTTTCTGATAAATTTTACAAGTCACTTTTGAGTAATGGCAATTAGAACTGGTGATATTCATTAAGATTTAAGAAAATGAACATGACATATTTCAGTAATGCTCAGAGGCAGATCATATTGCTTCTGCCAGCGCTTGTCAGCAAGTCTTCAGTGGGTAGAATATGAAAATGAAGTTAGAGAAAATATAGCAGATAACAATCAGGAAAGCTTAATCCTAAATAAATTTTCACTGAACTAAACAATACCGTTCACAAAGAAAGAAATGTGAGTAAAAAAGATTGACTGCTTATGGGGTGTACCTGTAAAACATTTTGACAATCTTACTAATAYAAAACTTCATCAAAAGTCATGTGATTATTTTTAGATAACTCCTTACTGGACTTGCATACTGCTAGAAGTATTGTTTGATACTGAGCAAGGAAAAGCTTGAGACTTTGTACTGTTTTAAAAAAGAGTAAGACTTAATTTTCTGTTGTACATAGACAGGACTTTAGAAATGGCTCAATTTAAAATTTGCTGCCTTTTAAAGGGACTCTGACAGATGTGCGTATCGCCGCTATCTGGGTGCTTTGTAGCCAGTGACCTTATAAATTTATTCATGTAATTCTTAAATTTTATTATGCTATAGTAAAATACAGAATCTGTTCTTGCAGTGTTGAGGTTAGAAGCTGTTTTAACAATTTTATCTTTGAGATCAAGGCAAAAATGCTTTCTTCAATTCTCCTTTCTTTAGGTATATTGGAACATCTCTGAACAGTGGTGAAAGTGTGCTATAGGTATAGAGAAGAATTCTTTCTTTTTCATCTGAATATCAAAGAGTTTTGTGATTTTCACATAGTCCTGATATCCTGTGTGAAAACTATGTATTTCCCTATGTGGCTTAATTTGATCCAGCCTGTGGTATTTGCAAGCCACCCAGCATAGTACAGAGAATTTCAGCATCCAGTCAGAATGAGTCGAAGAGCTCTAATAAAGCTAGCCTTTGTATGCTTTTCTATTTTTAAGAACAATTAAACTTCTTTTTTTCTCCTCTTTGTAGAYACACTATAAGGAAGCCTTTGAAAAATCTAAGGGCAAGTGCATATTTGTACCTGACACCCCTCAGCTAAAACATGTGAAAAGTCTTGGTGCTCTTATTTCTGAGGTAAGACCCAAAAGGCTGCAGAATTCTGTTTTGCTWCTTATTCTGCCTCAAAACTCTCTTGAGATGAAGATGGGTGTTTTTTCAGTAGGGGGAGGAGAGCTTCTTCCAAAAAAAACCAATTCAGTTTAAGGATTAAATGATTTAAAGGACTGTATTACTCCCACATACAGCATAAACTAATTAATAACTTGGAGTGGTATAACACTTTTCTTTGAGGGTTACATGATACTTTGTGGGCAGTTCTGGGAAGTAATAGCTGTCCCATTTTATAGCTGGATAAACTTAAAGCAAAAGGATTTCTTGTTAGTTAGTCAGGAATGGCAAGGTGTGCATCTTAGACCTGCGTGTAGTTGCTCTGCTGTGGAACATTMGTAGCGTTGCTACAAAACAGGAGCAAAGAAGGAACTTTTATCACTTTGACCATCAGTGAGGGAGCTGGAGCAGGGACCAGGTAAGTGCTATATCCTTGTGCATAAATGCCTGTGCATCCATGTATTTTGGGCTTTTTAGTCCTTTCTGTATGTATATTGCTGGAGTGACAAAATTGGCATCTTCTGAAATATCAAAGCTCAATTTACCACCAGGTCTTCATGTCTCAGGTACAAGGTGTCACTGGGTTGCATCTTTTATTATTTTTCATAGCTGAGAAAAGCATTAGGAGTTTTAACTGACAGACAATTGCTTTTGTGGAGGAGCTATTGGTTCTGATTGATTCTTCTGTCCTTGTGATCTTTGAAAAGCTTAATTTTTTGGTGCCTCATTTTTTGTGCCCCCCTCCTTTTCTTTTTGCTTTGGCGAAACACATTCCAATATCCCTAGCTCGAATTATGTAGGTTAAATATATTCTATATATTGCCTATGATATATCTATTTATAATATTTGTTTGCTGTACATCTACATCTAAATACCTCTGATATTTGTGCTATTTATCTTCATATTTGTGAGACAGAATAACTCCCAAATAGTATATATATGATGAAATTTCTAAAACACAAGGAGACTATAGTATAGTTTATAAAAATACTGTATAGTGAACAAATCTATAGAATCCATTTACATGTATGAAAGGATGCTAATCATTAATTKAATAAGATTTACACGTACAAGAATATTACACACTTTTAAAAATAAGATATCTTTCATATTAAGCAGCTTCTGTATGATTTGTGGCTAGACACATTACCTAAACCCAATAATGTGATAGATGGTTTATCTGGTAAATTACTGACCTCTAGTGTCCCATAGCCTGTTTTGGTGAAATTTGAATACTTCCAAAATTGTCTCTTGGTAGCATGTCTACTGATGTGAAAAGGAGCCCTCTATTCAGGAGTTCATCAACATATACTTTAGCAAATTATTGATATATAGAATTAATCTCTAATAATAGTACTAATAACAGTAGTATTACAGTAGTAGCAATAATACAGTAAATTAATGACTTTAGACAGCATAATTGCAGGTATTTAGTATTTATTATTACTTTCAAGGTAATACCTGATATTATTGTAGTTTTTGAATTTTTAAGAACTTTGATCTGGAGGAAAAACCCCTCACTTTAGAACCATTATTCTAGTCTGTCAGCAGGCTGTTTAGGAATTGCTAGTATTGTGCACTGGAGAAAGCACAGGAGAAATAAAAGGGAATTTAAAGATGAATATGTAATATGAAAAGATAAAGTAGAAATGATAACAAAAATGTCAGCTTCAGTGCTCGTGCTTTTTCCAGTTAAATTTAAATGCTATTGTATGCTAATCAGTAAAATATTTTAATACTGGTTTCTCGTTGCTCACGTTGTACAAAACTTTGAAAAACAGAACAAAAAAATAGTTGGAAATGATTTAATAAACAACAGCCTCCTTGCTTATGTAATCCTTTCTTCCAAATCCTTGAACTTAATTAACTGGTACTTCATGTAGTTTTGTGAATTAGACATCATGCATCTAAATTACATTAAAGTTATTAAAGATTTTTTTTTGTTTGAAAGCTTAGAAGACAGTAGTAGATCTTTCCCAGCTCTGCTAGTCTTTATGCCATTTTACTTATCAGAAAAAAACAGTATGTATTATGACTATTTTGTTACATTTGCATTACATGTCATCTTTTTCTTTCCTGTAGGTGAAGTACAAAGAAGCTGCTAAGAAAAACCTTTCCAACTCACTGTATCAGCAGATGCCAGCCACAATTGACAGTGTATTTGCAAAAGAATTAACACAGCTACAGAGCAAGGTGCCGTTTTAAAACAAAAAGACTATTGTGGTATTAATTACATGGCTGAATATTACCAATCTAAAAAGTACTTTTGAACAAATGCTTGATTGCCTGCCTCATTGATTTGCGTCAGTTACTTAGGTGGGGTTTATCGGCATACCAGAATAATTTCAAGAACTCACAGTTAAAATATTGAGCATCTGAGTCATTATGTTTGTTAAAAATTTTTAAAAAATAGGCAGTCTGTTCATCAGTCCAACAAAAGCCGGTAGAAATCCATGCATGCAATTACTTACTTCTATGACATTCCATTGTGTGTTTAGAGGAGAGAAATCTTCAACTCTAGCCACTTCAAGTTAGATGACATAATAGATTTTAAAAAGTCAAAAATTAAGCAAAGTGGAAAAAAAAACAGTGTTAAGTTATGGGTACTCACAGGTAACAGTAAAAATATTTTTATGTCATTAATAATCCACATAGGACCAGTCACAACAACATTTAGAGAATTTCAAATATAAAATCAATTGTATTGAATATAGTGCAAAACATGCTAACTGCTAGTAAAATAATAAATTGTAGCTACTTCTGTAGGCTTGGAAATAATTACCTTAATGTAGAATCTTAGGTTCTATTGATTTCCAAGAAATTGTGTTAAGTATGCATGAAATGGTAAATTTTTCTTGTGACTCGTTACACTTAACAACTGACAAAAGYCATTGTTTTCTGTGCAAAGGCATTTCCATCTTTCTCTAGTTCTTCCCTTTGCTTTTCTCAAATGTATTAGTTACTTTTAGCTTAATACAGCAAGTCTGTGAAATCAGCATATTCCTAAATCTGTATTATGGACTCTATCCCAATATTTATTCGAATAGTGCAGCATTTTTTTTTCCAAACAGGGGAAAATACTTAGAAAAAAATACTCTGAATTCTAGAGACAGTTTGTAGAAATATGCTTTGATTTAAAGCTAATCAAAGCTGTAATAAGCAAATATAATAACGTAATGTATATTTTACTCTTTATAATTTGGAATGAAATATATATACACTCAAGTGATAATGTAGCTGAGATGACATTAATGAGACATTTCATTGTAAAGTGAGTGATTAGAAGAATTACAGTAGAAATTGCAAATTAAACTTGTATTACATTTTAAAACAGTTGATATATAAAACATTACTTAACTAGTTTGCCACAGGATTTACTCCTGGATTCATTCCAAATGAGTACATTGTACATTAGTTTACACAAATGAGGTTAATTAATGCTGGTGATGTGGCAGAAAAGATAATGAACTGAGATTAAAAATCAATGTGTTTGAGTTTAAAAAAAAAAAAGGGAAAGACTGGTGTTTCATAGGAGGAGTTACAGTAAAGCAGAAGCACTTCCTGTAAAATTTGTACTGTTCTCTCAGGAATAAATGCATTATAAATCATAATGTACCAGCAAACATAAAGATATGCTGACACATTTTTCCAACTTTTAGTTACTGTTGCAATGGAGCTGAATTTAATGCTATTTTGAGAGAGATCCTAGGGGATTTTCTAGTGGAAAATCTTCTCTGCAGTATTCAAATCTAATCCATATTGTGCCTATCGCTGTGGTACCTCAGTAGCTAATACAAGGATTTCATATTTCAACTGGGTCAGGGTATGGCAAGGAGGATATCTACTGCATCTTCCTAGCTGAGACATTAAATTTCCAGGTCATCAATTCAGCAAAGGGAAGGGGAACGAGTGCAGGGCTGGCTGGCCAGCACCCTGACACTTGCATAAATGCTGCTGGAGACCCAAGACTGTGGCCTGTTTCTCAGTCGTACAGAGTTGATTTTTTAAATGAATTCTGGTTTCCAAAAGTAGGTAAAAAACACGTCTGCATGTCCTGCTTCCTGTAGAACGTATGGACTCCATTGGCTCCCTACTGCGGCTATGTGGGTGCCAGGCCTAGTTCTTGTGGGTTTGTTGCCAGCCATCACAAGAACTTTCTATGCTCCTGTTCCTTTGCTGGTAAAGGATTGTGGAGATAATGCCCCTCCTACAGGATCTGATTGCTGCCCTCTCCAGAGCGAATACCCTCTGGTAGAGCTGATCCCTGCCCTGCCATTGGATGCAGACAGGACTACTTCACAAGCCAAGGGCACCACAAGGCCCCRTCGGTGCTTCTGCTCCTCTTCCTGTGGAGCTTTCTGCCCATACTTGCTCTGTTGATGCATGCTCAAGCTCGTGAAGATGGACAGGAAAGACAGACCWCCTCTGCTGGTCTTTTTCCATTAAAACAAACAAAATCAAGCGAACACACAAAACCCCACATTCTTACTCTTTTATATCTTATGCAGAGATGACCTAAAAATGCAAATAAATTCCTAGAGGAAAAGAAATTCACTTGAAATGTGGACCAAAAAAGTGATGAATCTTTTGAAACAAAAATATGACATCATAAATCTGTTACAGTAGAGTGAAAAGAAAGCTTYGTATAACTTCACATACATAGGCAACTTCTATATGTTTCTTTTTTTTTCCTCTGAGTAGCAAAAATGATGGTAGCCTTCTAAGTAACTTTCTTAAGGGTTTCATCCTTATCATTCTTTCATCCTGGCGGTCCTCAGGATAAGTCAGAAAACTTATAAGTCAGAAAAGAGTAGACTTTCTCTTTCCCCACTTCAGCCTCTGCAGAGCTCTCRCCAATTTTGTCATTCATTATAAACAGAAAAAAATGTAGTGGATAAGAGCAGTCTAGACAGTGAGCCATCATTTGGATTTTTCCAGAGAGCAAATGGACATTTTCTGGAAAAATTGCAATTTTGTTAAGGAAAATATTTCTGAAGAAAAAATTAAATCATTGCTAGCTTTGTGCCATTTTTTTCCCTGTCTCAACACTGTGTTCTTACTTGCATTTTTTTTTAATAAGGTGTCACAAACCATGATAAAGGTATTTAGAATGACTAGGGGAGGAAATAAAGTAAAGAAAAGAAATGTGCTTTATCACTCTATTTCTGCCAGAAGAAGAGATTGCACTGTTTCTCTTATCTGATAAGAAGAATCTAAACCAAACTGAAGGCAGTTTAATTTTCTCCTTTATGCAGTGCTGCAGTATCTCAAACAGTAACTATATGTCAGTGTTCAATAGTGTCTCCTGTTTCTTAAAGAAGATGAGCCAACTGAATCTTAAGCAATATTTCTAGAGAAAGTTTTAGTATTTTTCTTACTTATGAACAGAATCCCTTAACTTTCAGATTTTTCTTTATTATAGTATAGCATTTTTTGCTACATTTGCTATATACAGTTTACTGTATAATTTATGATCATATCACATATTATCTGTTTAATGTAATTCTTCATTTTTCTCTTGTGTTTATTCTTTTTCTTTTTCAGTTTTTCTTCTTTTTCTTATAGAATCTCATATTCAAGATTTCCTCTTTTCTAAATGGCAAGTGCTTAGTAATCTCCTGGACTTCACTGTTTGTTTTAAACATCAGTTAAGCTAATTCCCAGTCTGGAGATTGAAGTAGCATTTTCTGTTTCTCGCACAATTCCTTCTATAAAATCCTACATTAAAGATTTTAAGTTGAGAATTCCCATTTGATTAGGAAATATATGTATGTATAAAATGTATTTACAATATTCTAAATTATTCCAAAGCAGAGAATGAGTCAGAGTTAAAAGCCTTCCTTAATTGAATTCTATATTGACMCAATGATGTATGAAAGATAGATAAGAAGAAAACAGTGCTTACAAATCAGTTCCTTGTGAAATAATACCCACTTAAATAATTGTATAATTATTATACTAATTGTACTAAATAGTATCACAACAGTGCAGAAGTTATGTGAGTGACCCTTACTACTTGATCCCTGTATAGAGTACTGTGATGCATATGTATAGTTGAAAATTGTTGACAATTTTGCTGATTATCTGCTAACAAAAGTGTTGCTAACAAAACAAAAATGAAAGAAAAAAATGAATCCTGACCACATTTTGCAAAGGGGAAAGCAAATATTCTTCAACAAAACTGAAGCAACATAAAAGTTTTGTTTGTTTCTTCCCTCAGAGACCTAATCATTTTGAATTTACATTGTGTCAGCAGATGACACATTTTATGTTTCCTAATCTTATACTTGAATTCATACAGTAGCAGCACCAAAATACTTTTTCTCTTAGCTTTTCAGCCTATATAGCATTTAGTAATCTGACCTAGTCAGTAGAGATACTTCTATATTGCTTTGGGCATCCTGATCTGCAGCTTGAATATAATCTTGCTGCCTTAAACATAAACAGATGAGACATTTTCTCACAGTTCTTGGTATCCTTTCCTAAAAGTAGCTGAATCACCATACTGAATCCTGCCTCAAAATTTTCACAATATTATTCCCCCCTCTTGAAGATTTTAATTTCAAATCTTCCTCCTGATCAACTTTCAATCATATTTAGTATTTGCTGTTTTCTTAGGGATTATTTTAATGCTTGTACCAGAGAGCTATTAGAAATGAATTTGCTTGATGCTTGCTGCTTCTTCAGGCGTCCAACCTGGTGAATTTTCTTAATGTAAGCATAAAAGCTTATGACAAGGATAAGTGCAATATCAGCTTTTTGAGGCAGTTTTCATATGTGAGTATAACACAGTAAAGTGAAAGCTGGATGAATGCCCAACTTTCAGCCCAGTTTCTATTATAAAAATGATTTTGTTTATAAACTCACATGCCAAATTCATTTTCCTTTGCAATGTGACAATTGAATGTAAATATTATTTTTCCTTGGGAATCTCAGGACAAGTCAGAATGTGGATTGTGCTAGTAATTTCCTAACAGTGGAAGAAATAGATGTTTGGCCCATATGTAATACATGTAAACAATTTATTTRTAAGGAACACACAAGACATTTTCTTTTAATCTAGACACAGGAAAAAAATCCTCAGAAAATACTAATTTTGCTAAGGGGTTCAAATATGTTTTGACAAAAATTCCTTTCTCTGGGCCGTATTTTTGGTTTCTTAAGGCTTCTTTAATCTATCTGTATATATGCACTTCCTCGTTCATAGTTCTTTTAAAATAATAG